AGAGCCGTATACGTATAGCCGTATAGCTCGCAAACGAAGACAAAATCGAGACAATTTTAACGAGCTAAACATCACCGTTTGGCAGTGAGGAATGTATTTTTCGAACTTTCGTTCATATCTGTATAGTAGTTTGGGATTAATTTTTTGATCACTGCAAATTTCGTCCCTTATCGCCATATAACTCACGAATGAAGGTGATATTTAAGAAATTTTCACGAGCTAAACATCACCGTCAGGTCCTAATGAATACGTGTACCATGTTTCATCAAGCTGCGTTCAGTAGTTTGAGAGATATTCCTGCATCATCGAACTTGGAGACCGGCCGCGAGCCGGCCGTAAAATTGTCACGCACGTCGATATCGTGCATAGATACGTAAACTTGTCAGGCAATCCAGAAGCAGTTTTGTCTTTTGTTGTCAGAATAATTGTTTACACCAAGAAACGGACAGGAAATTAATCCATGGAAATTTTGATGAAATGCGAATATAATGACGACGCACAAAACCAATATAACTTTCTAAGAGGCATGTTTCAGGGGCGGTTCACAAATTTGTAAAGTCATTCCTATTGATAATTGTGAAATTAATGGAATGCATTGATAAATATGTAAATGACGCAATCGAGGAATCGTTTCCAGAATTATGATTGGGACAGTTGCGCAGGCGAGTTCGGAGAAGTGTCGATCCAGGGAACAGCTCCTAATAACAGCTCTCAACCTGCTACAGACATCCACACTGTTTATCAACGTTTTTGATTGTATAACTATTCCCCTCGCGAAATTCGTTTTGTTAGTATCAGAGGTACGATGAATTCTTGGCCGTGATTTGAGTGAGATACTTTGGTGCTGGAACGAGTTCAATTTTCAGAAGCTGGGCACTAAGAAAGTTTTATGTAGGTTGAGTTATATTGGAATTAATTCATTATAAATTCAATATTTAGTCTATTTATAACAGCATATCCTCACATTCTGAGGCTCGGCTCCTGAAATTAACGCTCAATAACGAAACGTACAAACAACCACCGGCCACTTAGCTTTTCTTTGAAAGAGTTCTCTCCCTACCTGTGATATACACAGAGTAGGTATACAAAAATATTAATTTTGATCATGAAGATAATTGATTAAGATGCTAATTATTTAGGCAGAAGATTATGGAACCCGAGACAGGACTACTGAACATGTAAATTTTCGTTAGCTTCTCAAAAAACGATTTCATCCCTAACTAAATCATTATTTACCTAACTGCGGTCAGCATCGTAGCCATCGGTTGGACTCAGTGTCATAACGCCTCAGAACGACACCATTATGTATCATTTGATGTATAATAACTCTAATGGTAATGAACCTATGTAAATATTGGCACCTGATGCGTTGGCCGTGTTTTACATTAGTGAGTGAGTTGTCATTATTTTATAACTGTGTAACAGAATTGCCGACACGAGTAAAGATAACATTGAGCTCGCAGGCTAAGTTTGGTCGCATGTGAAGATTTAAAAAAAAAATTTTGCGTTTGAGTTATCTTTAATAATTTATCTCATTGCATATCTTTCAATAATCGATAGTTCAGATGAGCGCGACCGACATTGATTGTCTAAGAATTTAAATGGCTTCCTCTACAGTCTACACTGTAGCGGAAGCCATTTAAATTCTTAAGTCTACAGCGTACAAGGAAATCATATTCGTTAGCGTTTCCCCAACTATCCAGTCAAAAATATTCTCTTAGCAATTTCAATTCCTCTGTTGCTGAAGCTCACAGCTGCCCACCTCCTACAAATAAAATTATCATATTTTTACTTTCCGAATATTATGTTCAATGGTCAAAACATTTTAACGTGAATTCTAATATCAAGGTCAAAATTCAATCAAAAAGTTGCACAGAAGCAATTTATGAATATAAAACAACTGAAGCCTCCATCGCAAGTTTTTATATATATGCTTAATATCCGCCGCTTATACCTTAACTTTAATGTAAAATTTCTAAAATATTATAATTTTTGTATATCATAAACTGGGCATCTGGCCGGCAGTATCAACATAGAAAAGCCTAAAAAATGTATCATAGAAAACCAACACGTAGATCAAGGCTGACACAACTACATGTAAATTGTCTTTGGCAGTAATGTCTACATGTAAATCGGCCTCAGGAATGCCGGTCGTTTCTCGTATATCCGTACAACTTGCGAACGAAGGAAAAATCGAAAAAAAATTACCCGAGCTAAACATCGCCGTTTGGTAGTAAGAAATGTATGTTTAAAGTTTCGTTCAAATTTGTTCAGTAGTTTGTAAGAAATTCCTTGCTCACTGCGAATTTCGGCCTGTATCGTCTAACAACTCATGAATGAAGGCGAAAATTGAAAAAATTTAGCGAGCTAGTCATCACCGATAGGTCCTAATGAATTAGTATACTAAGTTTCATCGAACAGCATTCATTAGTTTGGGAGATATTCCTTGAGCATTGAATTTGGAGACCGGCCGCGAGTCCGACCGTAAAATTAAGTTAAGAGTTAAACCCATATGCAATATTTCACTAAAAATCATCATATGTCTGAAAAAAGGCTGCCCTAGTCGTCAGATATTCGTACTGCAAATTGAATGAGATTTTTCTCAACGTCGTAGCTTGTAAACTGAAGGAGTTGTGCAATTTTATGCTGAAACACTCGATTGTGCAAGGGAGCCAAATAGCCTAAACCCGCTCCAAAAGAATTAAAGGTTAAAAATATTTAGTCTGTTTCTTTCCCACCGCATGTTACTCATAATTAGGGTACCATCTTACGCTACATGACTCATTCATGTCCAGTTTAACGTGGATAATAATAATATAAAATTATTTTTGCAGATTACACATTTCATACGAGTTAAAAACTACCTCGCGTACAAAGTGATGCAAGCACTTACAAAAAGTTGATGCATAAATTATTCAGTCAAAATTTGGTCAGAATACGGAAACGGTCGCAGTAACTCGGTCGTTTACGAAGCAACTCTTAAACTTTACTTTTTCAATCTCACACGTCCGTCCTAGCGTTTTCAGCACACCAGACTTCATCTACACGATTTAACTTTCAAAATTATATTATTAGCGACAGAGCTTTTTGGCCCCCATCGCATCTACTGAACAACTAACGCGAGCTGCAAGCCATAACTACTCTATTCTTTCAGAGCGCTAATTGAGCGCGGTATCGGCAGACCTATAGATTATTTGAAAGTAAGGAAGAAATTACCCTTTTCAAATACACTTTAGTGATTTTATTAAACATTTAATCATTTGAAATGAAAGATTTTATGCGCCCATGTCGAATTTTTAGTCAATTTATTCAGTTCCTTTCAATAACTTTCTATCAAATATTTCGTGGCCTTGTTTAGTGGCGTCCTAATAGCAAGTGACGAAATTTAATGCATCACTGTTTCCTGAAAAATGTGCGATACTTATGTGAGTTTTATGCAAGTTTGATTGAAGACCAGAGCATGCTTCTTATTAATGATCTTCTTATTCGTCTTTTCAATGACTTGAACTAAATTTCTTGCTGGCGCCGGGAGATCAAACAGCAGGTTACCAAAAGAAAATTTAATAGAATGCGACGTTTCGAAAATACAATTTTCATTATCAAGCAGGAAAGGTTTTGCAACACTTGAAATTGAACTTTGGAAATGACAAAAGTACAAATCAATGGTATAGTGGATACAACTTAAAATAAAAGCTTAAAATTACTCTGAAAATAATTTCAGCGTCCGGACAAATCCTGTAGTTTGGAGGTTGATAGCCGGAGACTCGCTCTTGATAATGAGGGCCTCGGCTATCGTCAATCTCGATGGGTCGGGGCACCGCATAACTATGCTGGTGCAGGCCTCCAATGTCGCTCGGGTGATGGTCTCATTGTGGACTTCCCGCATGTGGTTCTTGGGTCCTCCAGATTTTATGCGCCCATGTCGACTTTTTTTGTCAATTTATGACTATGTGAGTGTATATACATAAATCTTTTCTGTAATTATAGCCAGCAGAAATATTTAAAGAATAATTGAGGGAAAATGAATCACGGTAAGCATTAATACCAGTTTCATCATTCATGACTTGTTCTCCACACGAAGTTGGGAACTTTTTCATTCCAAATCGTCTCTGGCATAGTCATAGCGTACCAAATGGCGTCAATTTCTGCAACAAGATTTTGATTCATTGTCAACTCGAACTCAATTATTATAACACTTCAGGAAATTTTAATATAAAATTTGTCCCTGGACTCGCTGCTTGTTATAAATAAATGCTTACAATGTTACATGTATGAGTCTAGAAACAATATTAGTGTGAGTGTGTTATTAGTGTCAACACAATATTTTGTGTTGAGTGTGATATCATATTCTTCTTGAGCCTACCCTCGTTCCCAGACGAGAGGATGCAAATTATAGACCAGCAGCAGATTGTAGTTAATTTGCTGCTACCTGAAGTGAGGTTGCGATACGATCCGAGTTATTCGTTGAACACTGATGTACGTTTAAAGAATTACAATGGCAGATTTTCAGGGTTTGAAATTTTAGATTTTAATGGACGTAATTATAACATCAGTCATTCCAATATCATTCTTCTTCCGTGTAAAGGAACGAATGGCAAGCAGTACGTGTGAAACGGTCCTAGTGTGATGCCGTTACCGAACATTATAATCGGTAAAGAGAGAGAACGAGTTAAATATCAAAGACAGCAAATTTTCTCAATTTAAGAATTATTAGAAGTTCACGAGATATTTTCGGAAGAAACGAATAATCGCATAGGGGTACTAACTTCGACGTTCAGTACAGGGATAAAACAAATGTATTCTCTTCAAACAACTCCATCATTTCTGATCAGTAATGGAGGTAGCGATACATCTTTCTGATCGGTAAATAAACTGATCAGTAATGAGGAGAGCATCCGCGATGTCTTATTGAAGCTGCTGGTATCGAAGTTGACAACTGATAGGCAGGAGTAGCGTAAAAATATTATATTTTCAATTACTGGATATTGACAAATAAAATAATCCTTGCACGAAAAAATTATATTTCTTGTGCATGATATAGTAATTATTTAGTTGAAATGCAAAAAAGCCAAATAGGTCAAAGATGAATATATAACGTGAAGTAGCATCAACTACTCAGGTACCGACTACAATGAATCTCAAATAGAAATCTAATATGAATAAAAACAAGATGGTTTCTACAACTAAAACCGAGATCGAAGACGAACAAAGAAACTTGATGTCTACCTTTGGTTCTAGTGGCAATAGCGTTAGGCTAGTGATCTTCAACAATAAAAATACGATTAATTTGTTCATAAATGGCGCTAATTGGATTAAAATGTTGGTCTATCGCCCCCATAATCAACATTCGCCTTTAATTTTTTCCAATTAGTGCGTTGATTAGTTTATTAAATATCCTCAATGTTAATCAAAGACTCTAATTTAAGTTAAATAAGCATGCCGAAGTAAACAAAATTTTTAAAGTATATGTCGTTATCAACTGACAAAGATTGATCTTACCGTTGCAAGGTATTCAAGTAAAGTAGATAGTATCCAAGTAAAATAAACGGTTGCGTCTCCTACATCAGTGATAGGAGTCCTATAAAAAATCACAGATAGTAGCAAGTAGCGCCCATCACATTTAGATGGTTCAAGAAGCAAGTGTCGGTCAAGTATTAGTCATATCACTGTTCTTAAAGAAATCAGTAATTTTCATATTGTTTTGCAAGTTGCTTGCATTAGTTTTCTGCCCTCCTTGGGCATTATTTGATGCTGAGGTGGAGCCATCTTGAAGAGAAGTACTCGTTGAAGGCTCAGCACTCGAATAGGCAGAGACTCCTGCAATAAAAAATTATATCATTTGAATATGCATTCACGACTTGAAGTTCATCCCTCTAAGAGGAAGAATGTAGTGTAATAAATTCTGTTGTACATTAGATGTTACAGGAAAGTTAATGAAGGTATCAGCAAGAAGGTTCAAACAATTGCTGATGCTGGCTAGCTAAAGTTCTGACTGAACACAAGTAGTTTGTTATCTTTTTACAATCATAGATCCAGTGCAGAGTTTACCTTCAGTACGCAAGAGAATGTTTAACCTAACAATGCTAACGGAATAACATTTTTAATGTTACAAAACATACGTAAAGTCACGAATTTATGAATATGTGACCATGATACCACGATATTGTAGTTGGTATTGTAATGCTACTGACCTGCATCGGTCTCCAGAGTTGTACGCGCAGGAGAGGCAGGGCCAGAAGAGCTGAAGCTCTCATAAACAAACTTGAAGAGATCTTTAGAGGCGAGCTCCTTGCGCTGAACACCATACAAGCAAAGGCACTGCACGAGAGCTCCTGTACCAGAAATGAAGGCGACTTGAGTACGTACATGGTGAGCATGGCTGGGAATGACAACTGTTTCGCGGTCAAGCAAAAAAAACATTTGAAAAACATCAATAAAAACATTTGAAAAAAAATGGAAATTTCCGGAGCCACTACGAGAAAGCATGATGTTAAAAGATGAATTTACTCGTATGGATTTTCCAAAATTTTGCATTATATTGGAGAAAATCGCAGATAAAAATTCTATACTAAGCCGTGACTACGTTAAGAGGAATTAAAACTTTCTAATTTATTAATTCAATGGCAAACTATCAAGCAGCAATTTGATTTAATTCTCTCCGGCAACGTTAACTTAATTATTAATTATATCAATATTACCCTACCCAACTTCTTAAAAAATGCTGAAAGAGCGTCTATTTCATTCTCAGAGTCAAAACTTTCATTCAAATGCTGATATTTAAATTCCAGGGTATGGCAAGGGGTGAAGCTATGCATGGATGGGCTGATGATTAGGAATAGACAAATAACGTAGCCTCAAACTCAAACCATGACACAAGCTGGGCTTTTTTGGATGGAGATTTAATTGACCTTGCCCGCGAAATGGGTGTCGACTTGGTCATTATTGTGGCGGATCTTCAATGAAATTGATTGATGCTACAGAGAAATGATCATTCAAGACAACGACGCACTAATAAATGGTTCTTTTAATCTAAAATCACCACATCGTTATTGAAAATTATGGCAAGCATAAATATATAAATCTTCGCATGGCAAACGCTAAAAAATTTCAGGGATTTTTTATTATTTAGTGCAATTTATCAGCAAAACTTTCATTAACAACTGCAACCTGCCCAGAAACAAGTAATAATAAACCACCTCAGATGGAGGCAAACAAAGCAACAGAAATGGGAAGGATGTAAACTGATGTTGAGGATTAAGAAAAAAAACAGTTACCAGCGCAACAGAGTCGTACACGAAACAGATAATAAATGCTGGTATAACCGTGCGCACGGGCAAGAACCGTCGCTTCTGATTAGTAGTATTTAGTAATATTTACATTTACTTAGTAATATTTACAACATTTATTATGTTGTTAATTCAAAAGGAATCATAAAAAATTTACATGCAGATGAAGGGAGCTTCTGAAAAGATTTTCGAATGCGGTATAGAGTTTCAATTAAATGTAACATCACCTGCCGGATTATTTGGGTGAGTATGCAATTCATAAAGCTTCGCGATATGAGACTTATTTTCCTCGCATTGCATAATAGCATAATAATGATAAAAATCGCAAAAAATATATATAAACCGTTTATATTGTATCGAAAGGCCTTTAATAAATTGGAGTATACTCATGAAATATTAAATCTATATTCAATACTTGTAAGATCATCACGATCTCTTGATATGTTCAAAATTTCACGTCAACTGCTAGCTGAGCAATTTTCGTTGCTATTACATTAATCATTCGGCAAGTTTCTTCTCTTCTTCACAGCACTAATCCAAGTAAATAATCCACCTGAGCGTGACAGATGCAATCGCACAATCTTTCACTCCACATTTCAATTATAATGAAATTTAGTTTCACCAAATAAATATATATGCATACACCCCCTTCTTTGTTTTAATAGTCTAATTGCACCTGGTAGCAATGAATCCTTCAATGGGTAATTAACAACTGTGAGAATGAAACAATGTTTCGGTGATCTACTAAAGTAACGACATCATCACAACATCACGGCAGCTCTACCAGTAATTATTCTTAATTACTTATTAATTAAAAATTTAGGCATAACATAAAAGATTATAAACTTATTAATTGATTAATTAATAAGATTTTTAAAGCTATCAAATATTGACTATATCTGCTGCCAGGTTCGAGTTCCCAAGAGACATAGAATCATTCGGATTTAAATCTTGCAAAAAATTTTGAAGTATATCCCAGGCAGTAAAAATCCAAGTAATTATCAACTTAGATGCAGCAAGAATTAATAATGACCAGCAGTAACAGAGCGACGCGTCAGGAAATCATGCAGGTCCGACAGTCGGTGTTTGAAGTCGGAGTCGTGGAAGGTGAAGTACGCTATGTCGCGACCAGCAGCAGCACACGACGCTATCTGCAGCAGCGCCTGCAACAGTGATAGAGTGATCATCATACGCTGGGGTGAGGCAGACACATAAATACAACACAGAGCTAGAGTGAGCACCACATGCTGGGGTGAGGCAGACACGTAAATACAACACAGTGCTACAGTGAGCATGCAAGATTGAACAATTTTCTTGATTAGAAAAGCACGTTGAACAAATTTTCGGATTATAAACATAAAGGATATTTGAAACCAATGAATAGATTTTGGTAACCCTAAAGAAAACCATTTTAAAAAATAGTTTTAAAATAAAACATTATAAACTCAATTTTAAACTCGATTATTTTTCTCAAAAAACATCTGTTTGAAAAAGGTCACAATTCATGCCTATAATTATTTTGTAAATGTTAAGGGATTTATTTAGACAATTAATTTCACCCATGAAATGCTGCCGCCCTGCCTGTCAAGGTGTTCTCAGGAACAGAGTATGTATATTAACTGGGTTCAGGTTTCACATCGAAATAAAATACCTAATTCCGGTTGTTTAGTGGGTCATCTTCAATTACTAGCACACGAGGCAAAGGTAGAAGTTATTCCGTCATCCTAAATTGGAAGATTCTCGTGTTGTTACGGACAAGCAACTGGATTGAACATCTGTGATGTCTCATGTCTCTAATAGATTAACATCTAACTGTTGATATAATTCTACCTTCAAGTGAGGATCTCCACGAAAGGCACCACAGCCCCAGTTGCCCGTGGCTACTGCCACCGCTGGTCCAATGCTGCCGCTAAGTGGCCGGAACCCGGCGTAGGCCTGAAAAGTGTCACAATGTTCAAAGACCTGAACAGCAGAGCAGGTCGAGAATACAACTGTAGGGCGAGTAGAAAAACAATATAAGATCAATACTTGGGAGCAAGAGAAGATGGAAGCCCGCAACCCAAACTCTAATGAAACAATAGAGGATTAATAAGAACATTGTAAAGTAAATTCACTAAGAAAGTGATTGACAAGTAGTGGAAAGCCTTCAAATTTGATGAAAGCTTGACGCTGAACGACGGTGCCTAAAAACAAATGTCATCCAATACGTTGGGATGAACGAGGACGAAATCAACAGCGAACCGCATTGACTTGCTGATTTTGAGTTCGGACATTTAAACTTCAAGATTTCATTTGTAATTCGCGACACTGCAATTACTGAAGAGTGCAAAGAGGAACGATAAACATATGGAATGACATAAAATAAAGTTTGATAATCAAATGGAAACTTATAATTAAATCAGTTATGCTGAAAAGATGTAGATCACATTTCCCAAAATGTTTCAAGAATTACAATAACCTTAATTGAAGCTCTCATTACAACTCATTTATTACACATGGCAACAAAATTATTTTCAGTGGCATCTGAACGTGGATGCAATGATCAAGTAAAAGGAAATAAATTTTGTATCGTCGCAGTTGCCTTTTAAACTGAACAAATCATGCACAAAACTGAATCAAAGCTGCAGGCAACATACAATCATTAGGAGACTACGATCATTTGAGGGGACTTGAAGATAGTTTGCACCTTATTAAGCTCCCTGAGAAGCAAGGGCTTCTCATATTGCTCGCGCGGTCGCTGCCTGAAGTGCAGAGCGTCAATGGCCACGAGCTGCGTGAGGCGGCGACCGAAGGAGTCTCGTTGTGTTGAGTCGTGGAAAGAACCTGAGAACGTGAAGCTGCTGCCATAGCCTGCACCCTTGTTGAACTGCTCCACACCTGAACCAAACAACAGCAATCAAATCAATAATAGAAGTACGTCTCATACTGAAATATATCAGAAGTCATGGTCTAACGCAAGAATAACAGTTATAGGTACTTTATTTTGACTGTAGAGAACTTTCCACGTTGTTTACATGGGTCTATCACACAGAAAATGACTTCACTCCCACAGTTTCAAGTCTGACAATCTATTTAACAAAGCGTCTAATATACAGATTTGAAGATAAATACCGAACAAAATGTATTAAAAGGTTTGACTACTACTGGAAATTACATCAGATTTCGTACAATGAGAAGGACATTATGTAAGCCAGGGCAGATGCGTCGCTTGGTCACGCACACCCCAGTATATATGACACCAAACACCAGGGCTCACGCACCGATGATGACGAGAGCCTCATTTTTGTCGAGAGCCTCCGTGACGAGTCTAGACACGAGCAGCTCAGGGCACAGCAGGAATTTGATTTCCTCCTGAACACATCCAAAGCCCAGCACCCCGCCGCCCAGGAACCTGTCCCGAGCAAGAACGAGTCAGTCAAGTTTTGATTGTTGCATAAAAAGCTCACTTTAGCAGACAAAGTTTGAAGTAAGTTTGAGCGTATCATTCAAAGCCACAATTAAAGTAAGATAACACTCTTGAAATCGCCCGCCCGCACACAAAATTAAAAAATATAACTCAGTACTCCCTATAGTGAGTGACAGAGCGCGCATTTTCTCGTCGACGAAAACATGAAGTCACGGACGGACAGACAGACGGACGGACGGACAGAATGAGAAAATGCGCTAAATAGGTACAAGAATATAACTCAGTACTCACTGCAGTGAGTGACAGAGAGCGCATTTTCTCGTCAACGAAAACTTGAGGTCACGGACAGACAGACAGACAGACGGACATGGCGAGCACAATAGTGCATTTTTTCCATAAATGAGAAAATGCGCTAAAAATACGTCCACTCCAAAAGAGATTATATACAGCTTTGATAGGACATTAATACTTCCTATAGTCTAGAATGGCTACAAAAGAGCAAAACAACGACTAATTTAATTGGCAAAAAGAACGAACTTGTTGGCAAAGTCGACATGCAGCAGCCCAGGCACGTCCTCTATGAGGGTGTCGTGGTGGCAGTGCAGTCTGGGCAGCGGCGACGAGCAGCTCTGCCAGCGGTGCATGTCTGAGTCCGGGGCCTGCGTGCGACACAGCGTCACCAAGCCCGTCGGTTCTGAGCACAACAGCACAAATTATTAACATTATAACCCAATTAATAGTATTTTTCTTTAAAGAATCTATTTTGAACTTTCTCAACGATGACATGCATCGTCTTTCTCAAGGTACACACGCATCACTCTGTGCACATCAAGACACGGCACAAGAAACACGCTCATCACACTGTGCACATCAAAACACGGCACCAGACACACGCTCATCACACTGCGCACATCAAGACACGGCACAAGAAACACGCTAATCACACTGTGCACATCAAGACACGGCACCAGACACACGCTCATCACACTGTGCACATCAAGACACGGCACCAGACACACGCTCATCACACTGTGCACATCAAGACACGGTGTCTCGTCAACCATTACAACACACATCACATGTACACATTATTCCCTCATCATTATAAGCAGCTCACCATTAGACGTAACGCGTCTGAAGTAATTCAGTATGCACTTCAGCTTCTCCAGCACAAGTGGCTCTTTCTTGCTCAATAATCTGACAGAAATAAGATGAACTGAATTAGTTGCAGGAAAACGATAAATCATTTCAGGAAACCTTGAAGTAAAAGTCAAAGTTAGGCTGCTACAGTTAACAATAAGAACAGAGATGCGGCAATTCAGAACATTGTAACGCTATAAGAATGTTTAGACTAAGAGGACTCTCTGAAAATAAGACCTTAATTATTTCGACAGCAGACGTGCTAAGCCCCCATCATAGATAACTCAGCAATGCTAACATGATACCTAGCACTCACCTCGCTGTAGGAATCTCTTGGGAAAACATCTTTTCACTGTCATCGAGATAACCGGCATCACAACTTCTACCAAGTCCTACCAAGGCACACACGTTCGGTCTCCCCTACACTCCACAAGCCCCGCCTAACAACTATTGTCAGTCTTGAAAAGATCCGGTCAAATTACACGATTTTAGATCTTCTGAGAACACGTCACGAAAAGTACAAGAATCGGCGGCAGGCCACTTCAGACCTACTCTTCAGCGCCGACATCAGTATGTTATGTTAACATCCACAAGTCCCGCATCAACACTCCCAAGCCCCTCAAACCACCCCTGCACCTGTTGAAGTTGATGTCAGGGTAGTTGGCGTACTCGGAGTTGCTGCCGCGCGCGTTGCGCCTCGGGAATGTGCAGAAAAAAGCATTCGCGAGCAGACACGCGATCTGAAATTCGAATAAAATAGAACAATAGATCTATATTCTTCGCTATTCATAGAGCAGGAAAATGGTTAACATGAGAATAAAATCAAGTTTCTGTTCTGTGTAATCACATCGATACTGAGAGCGGGAATTTTTGAAATAATAACCTTAATGTAATTTGACATTTGACCATTAAAGATGGTGTCTGATATTATCAGTAAATTGATATTAATTCGAATGAAAACAAATATGCTCATCCAGATGAGCATGAAGTCAGATGACGATCTGTCTTCACTTATATATGGCTATCGAAAATATGCTTCTACAGACTTTTTCAAACGGCTTCTCCCATAACACATCGGTGAGCAGCTTATATGAAGAGGCAAAAAATTCCCAAAAGGAAGAGAGCACAAAAAGTTTCACAAGTATGTATCATTGATCCACGGGAACAATAACTGAGGAAATAGTAATTTTATGTTACAAATTTTCGGTACTTTACTTGCTTTGCTTTGAATTCTGCATTTGAGAGTACTTTAAATGAGATCACTAGGCAATTAATAGAAATTGTTGAGAATCGTACATAGAAAAAAGTTAGTAAAAACTGTTAATAATAGTGACTTATTATTACACTAAACTTTGCTTGGTGGAATTTGAGAAGTTGAGTGTGAATGAGTCGAGTAATTAAACCCTTTAAGGCTGCATAATTTTACTACGCTAATATAGCACCCAGTGGAGGAAGAGGAACAATTGTACTTATGCATTCCGACTACCGTTATTGGCATAATTTGATCTTGTCTATACTAAATATTTGACAAATAACATATTGTGGGAACAAAGTTTCGTTGGTGGGCCGAGACAGGGGAATATTGTATTCAGCACGAAATGGTCGTGCCTAGTATTGAAGAAAGTTAAGGCCGAGTGCGGCTTGGTAGTAGGTATTTGATGGTAAAGTTCACAAGGAGAATTCCAGCACTTGTAGCACTTCAGTGAAGAAAAGCAACGAAAATCAGTTAAGAGAAGAAGAGCAACCAACATCAGTTGAGAGGAGAAGAGCAACCAAAATCAATATATAATCACAGTTTCAAAGTTAGTAGTCATTTGCAAAGACAACGCACCTGTAGCTGCGAGAGCGTGAGGCTCGCCTGGCTGTTCTGGCTGAGCAGCGGCACCGGCGCAGTGATGAGCTCCGGCAGGCGCAGCGCGAGACGACACATCTTAGGCAGCGTTGTGCCGAACAACTCCTGCTCTTCACACTCATCAAACTGCACGCAGCACCACAGAAATTATCATGAGAATGTTCAAAGATAAGCCCAATATAGGGTATAGTTATTCTTGCACGCAGCACCACAGCAATTATCATGAGAATGTTCAAAGATAAGCCCAATATAGGGTATAGTTATTCTTGCACGCAGCACCACAGAAATTATCATGAGAATATTCAAAGATAAACCCAATATAGGGTATAGTTATTCTTGCACGCAGCACCACAGAAATTATCATGAAAATGTTCAAAGTTAAACTCAACATATAATTATTCTTTATGCAGATCGTGATTAGATTTGGTTATGTCGTAATTATTTCTTGACAAGCAGTGGCAAGAAAATATGAAGCAGTCTGGAGCAGTTAATCCAAACAAAATCTTCTTGATCGACATGTTTGGTCATCTTTGAAGAATAGTCAGCTTTATGGACTCAGGTTTAATTGTCAGCTTTACATTTCAAAATTATCTTGAAGCACATTAATAACGATGTGCTTGAAAATTTGTTGCCTAAAATTTTTCATTACTGTGCACTGTGCAGGTAGTACAAATAGAAATGGTAGCAACAATGTGCCTACAAACGCTTTGTGTGCATTGAAGGATGCAGTTTGAAGTTCATAAACTGGCCCTTTGTCCTGATTTTAACCAAATAACGCATTTTTGAATGTGCATTATATTACTCATAAATATTTCACTTTTTTATCATCTAAATTAAATTAAGAATGGTTAAATTTGCCTGACAGCTCAGGGGTGCTTTAATAATTATCAATGCCCACACAAATAATTTTCCTTACTAGTATGTTGTATGAATATTGTCACTCATATAAAATCTAAATAACAGATCATGATAGATCATTTGTGAGCGTATTCAATTACCTGATTAACAAGAGCATAAAGGCCATGGAACTTCCACTTGCCACGGTATCTTGTGTTGTACGAGAGGATGGCTTCTTGTAGTTCAGATATACTAGTGATGGGCTTGCTCAGTGCCTCGGTGATCACATTCCAACGCGGCACTACGTCAGACTTCTGCAACATAATTTAATTGATCAACACACTGTGTAAGAGTGTAAGAATAAATTACTACGAGATGGAGTTTTATAAGCTCCTGGGACTGATTTATACCAGATCTGTGAGAGAGCTTGCTTGCAGGAAATTTACAAGTAAAACGTCCATTAATGATAACAATACATCTATTGTATGATGACAGAGGCACAATGCACTTGATTATTTCTGCCAGAGGAGCCACACAATTATCAGGAAAAGTTATGGTGAGGCAATTTAAATTTAAAAATTCTGCAGAGAACTAAGAAATAATTGAATGTAATTAATAAATATACCCCATATACCTTTTGAGTTAGTAAAGAGTTTGTTATTGAGAAAATTTATGATTAAAATACTTTGAAACTAGCCTCAATCAATTTGTCTAAACCTTGCACAAACATTCTCCCAACCTTGTCCAAAAATTCTCCAAACTTTGTCCAAATTTTGCCCAAAACTTTATCCAAGCTTTCTCCAATTAAAAATCAAATTATTTGGGTTAAAAAAGTTGTGACTGACTGGAGCAGTGCAGTATAGGTTCTGGGGGCTGCATGGCATCTTGACACACTGGCTATGCCAAACATCCGTGTAGACACGAGGATGAGGCTCAGGAGGCAGGCCTGGTGTGTGAGGCAGCCTCACAAGTACAGTGTGGTGGCTGGAGACCTTCACAGGAGGACATCCTGGCTGCTCTACTGTCATGCATGACAAGCTAGCCAGAGCAGCACCACGGGGCCCATCATCTTTAGGCTCCTGAAAAAATGCTGAATTAAAAACCTAAAATTTAAAACGGTTAATTTTGTTCCTAAAATTTAAAATGGTCAATATCGTTAATTAAAAATTTTATGTTTGATATTTGTTGGCAGAAACAGAGATGCAATAAATGTGACCACCACATGTAAGCCTGAAGGGTTACTAATAATGCACATCTGAGGATATAACATTACAAAATCTTGTATGAAAGGCATATGGAGCAAATGCCGAGATTTCAGCTAAATTGGAGATGTTGAGTGAGAACATCTGGTCCACTTTATGTGGGATGACCCAATAATCAATTGCAAAACTTTCCCATTTCTAGGTTTGGATTATCAGCTCAACTTACAAATAAGGCAATAATATATTTCTAGAGCAAGTTTTGAAGACAAGTTTCTATAGTTACTGAATAGTATTTATTGTTACATTAATGCCTACAGACTACAGTTGAAGCTCAATTAAAATAGAACCTATATAAAAGCTTAATTAAACCTAAGCTTAAAGTAAAACCTGAAGAATGATCAGGATCAACAGAATTTGTTTAGTCAGTTGCAAAGCTTATGAGACTATTTACCTACTAAATTTAGCCTGAGCTTTTTCTTCATACCTTATTTTGTGAAGGACCTTCTCTCATTACTTGATCCAATGAAGTTTCAGCACTAGAAGATGAAATTTCTGGTCCCAAATTATCAGATAAAATCAACTTAGATTTTTTCTTAGGATTTTCAATATTAATACTACTCAATATATTCATGATACCTGAAATCTTGAATACAGTGTTGAAAACTTGAATTGAAGAATTTGTAAGATTTTTAAAAAAGATGAAAGTCATAAATATGTAGATGTAAAGGCAGTAAAGCTGATATTTCAGAATAGATAATATTATAAAAGTTGGTGTAATTTGGCATAAGCTTTTCTTTTATGCAAGTTTGATTAAAATTAAAGACCAGAGCATGCTTTTTATTAATATTCTTCTTATTTGTTTTTTCAATTACCTACCTAGTCAAACAAAATTTCATGCTTGCACCAGACCACTGAGACCAGGAGATCAAAAAGCAGGTTACCAAAATGACATTTTAATGAATTGCATAGTTTTGAAAAAACAATTTTCATTATCAAGCAGGTGAAGGTTTTGCAACACTTGAAATCATTTGGCTAATGAAAAATAATAATAATAAGATTATTAATAAAAAGCATGCTCTGAGGCCTGAGCCTCTGGAGAGTCTGGTCTTTAATCAAACATCAAACTTGCATGTTATCAAAATGAATACTTACACGGATAATTAATAAAAATTTTACAATGAAGTTACAAATTGACTTAATATTTCATTAATGTTAGTCAGTACTCACTACTCAGTAGGGAGTGGAATTGATATAGGTATACATATATACTGGTAGCCTGGTAGGTGCCAATCCACAGAGGAGGTCCGAGGGACAGACCCCAAGATTACAGACCTGTGATAGGTGGTAGACTGGTAGGCTGGTAGGGGTAGCTATACAAATTTAGCAGGTAATTTTTCATTTAGCTAGTGGCAGGAATCCTAAGAAAGACTTTTGCATGATGAGGAAAGATTTTTAAATAGGTATAAATATAATACCAAAATCAATGTTTATTTCCAGTTTTCAGAAACATTTGGAAATTTCTTATCGAGAAGAACTAGGTAGATCATACGCATAGCAGTCATAGGTGCCTAGTTAGGTAGCCGGACCGCCGGTGCCCGGTAGCCTGGTAGGTACTGTCAAGTGTCAATCAAATCGAATCAATAATCCATACTGGTTAACTCAGCTGTACCTAACACATACTGGTTAAATGGTTATTAATACATTATACATAACACAAAAACAGCATGCACAAAAGGACAAAGGACATCAATCAGGGTAGGGATATGGGCAATGGACAATTGGACATTACAAATTTTATGATTGTTATGGGCTTATGGCCAAATTGCCAATGTGCACTGTGCAGAAGCTGAGGCTGAGAAGCGCGATGATTGACATGGAGCCTGGAGGTCGGACGTTGAAGGAATGTGTAAATTGTGTATTAGTTGCAATTGTTGCAGGCTTGCAGATGCAGGGACTTTGGAATTACATGAATTTGGCCAGTTGAACAGTTCCAATGTTTACCAGAGTCCAGACTCAAGACTGTTTAATACTTAAGAACTTAAGGGGCCTTGGCTATGGTAGTAGTAGTGTAGTACTAGGCTACTAGCCTACTGTCTAAATAAGGTCTTCAGTTTGTTTCAAAATTAATGTTAAATTGTTCAACAACTACGGACTACCCGACTACCTAGGTACCTAGCCAGAAGCCCCAGTTCTTAAAGCCATTTCTTGCTTGATTATATTATCGTGTTTTCCAATAAGAATTCTTACTTCTCTTCGAATTTTGCGTCACTTTCGAGATACGAACGTGCACACACAAGCCAACGCCACTTTAGTTTATGCTGCGCATAACTTTTGTGTTGCTAGTGTTACAGTGTAATACTGTAGGTAGTGTATACGTATTGTATTTTCACCCTCACACCCTGGAACTCCGAAATGCAGTCAACTCTGGTATAATTCCCCAAGCAATAGCCTCCTAGTCCGCTCTTTACAGGTGACACCTACGGTATGTCCCATCTCCCATGGTTGAATTAATATTTATTAATTCAACCATGGGTATGCCCCCTGCGAGGTGCGGGCCTAGGTTGACTCCTATATCCTAATTTATATGTTCGTCTCCCTCCAAGAATCAGTAGTCGATGATCTCAAACTCAAAGAATGGTTCGCTCAACCCAACCCGAACATCAGTACCAATTTTTCATTGTTAGTTGAGAAGTGGTCAAGTAAGTTAAGTAATTGTGGTTTCTGCGTTGATTAATAAGTAAAAAGTGCTGCATTCTGGCATCTGGCCTGGCAACGCTTCTAGATACAGCTGAATTTATACATACTGCTACAACATTGGATTCGAATTTCACTGTTCCAATTAATGCAATCATTTCAATTTCACTGTTCCACCCGGCCACCGCGCTGACTGTGACCAAAACATTGCTGGAATGCTGGCATCGAACCCCAAACTCACTACGTACTCCAATCTTGGTGCTCGGAATTTAACGCATTTGGATCGTTTGTTGACCGAGCAGGTTCTCAGCAGAAAATTGCACTAATAAAGCATCCTAACTTCTACATATGTAGGTCCAAAAACTCCAGTCCAGGTGTAATTATTTGATATGCGGTAGATAGTAGCTGATCTCCCCTTTACAAAATTGGGAGACGAGTCTACAAACTGCGAGATAAGTCCGCCAATTGGGCAAATTTGCCCTCTGTCACCTCGAAGTCGAACATCTCGAGGAATTTAGTTATGTGGGAAGCAGGTGGCCGACAGACTAGAGCTACACACTTTCGAGATGCTCAAAGTACTGTTACCAAGTATTCCATGAAGCCGTCAGATTTCAAATTCCGCACAGTGCTTCCTGCGAGTGAGGGAGTTCCTTGCTCAAGCTCATCCTCACTTCTTCTCTACCTACTACCTAGTACCTGCGCTGTAATGCTAGTTGCGATACGGTGCATTGCAGTTTCTTCATGCAGGATATGTTTTCTTAGATGTGGCTCTGTTAGTGCATCATGAATACCTAATATCCGACGATCATCTCAATCGTGATCTTCGAATATGCATCAATAACCATCATGACAATGAGCTTAGCAATTAATAAAACCACATTGGCGAAACCTGACCAAAAAGAAATGCGGTGCTGATATAAGGGCAAAGACATCGTGTCCTCTCAGTGACTGTAGTCGGACGACTGACCATAAGGCCACCAAAACTTCTTTCGGAGCTGTGTTCTATTCTCCGCTTGATCGGTTAAGGTAATTTTAGTCAATTATCTCTACTATCAACAAAGGAAAACTTGAAATGTAAATGAAATTCAAACATTACTTCACTTTATCACGCCTCTGTGTCTATACGGCCCACTTGTGGAGTGCGCTGCAAAATTTCAAAACTCATGGCACCAAGCACGAACCGAATTGACACGAAGTATCGATTCGGTCAAGCACGATCGCAAAAACAGAACTACAGTAATGCCTCGCCTCACCCATCGCGGGAGTTACGTTCTTGACCTCAGCGATAATTGAAACCTGCCATAGGGAATAAATCAACCGATTATACTGATTCATGTTAATTTTAGGTATCATTATTCTCCGGTATTTTCCCATTGTTATAAGTTTTTACAAACTCTTCCCACTCTCTTATTGCCGATCGAGTTCAGCGACTGTTTAAATCTGCAGATCGACTTGCTAAGAACCCGAAAACCAGCGACGATTCGCGAATGATTCATCTCATTAATATTTTTTGATTGACATCCAGCGATGCTGTGAAGTCGCGGCAGGCGAAGCGCGATGCAACGAGGAATAACTGCATTACATTACATATTATGTAAGAAGGGTAAGTTCTGCAAAGCAGACTTGTGCTAGATTTCAAAAAATTATTATATAAAAGGGTTTTGCGTTAATCCAAAAATTTCTCATAAATATAACATATTTACTTGCGATAGATGATACGTTAATATTGAACGGCGTATTCCGTATTCAAATTCACAATAAGTTCCTTGATGCAATTAAGAACGCATTCACAAGATAATCAATAAAAGTTTGTTTCTATTGAACAAATTTGAAACGTTCATATTGGTATCTTTAAGAAGATCAAGAAATTCGAAATATTTTCGTAATGTTTAGTATCACGTGTAGATCCAGGATGATCATAAGCGTTATTGAAAATAGTCACGAAATTTCGCCTTTCCTAATTAAATTTTCACTCTTTATCCCAGATATCAATGCTTGTCCTTCACCGTGTAGTTATCCACGATTCATTGCAATCTTATGCTACTCAGATGCCACATTTGTCTTCACATCGCGTCGAACGCGTTCAATATGCAAAACCAGTTTTGACAGAAGAATTAAGACATAAATACTGAAGCTGCATGCATGTAACATCCTAAAATTCTAATGTTATTTTTTCATCTCGATAACATTTATTTTGTGTCGCAACTTGAATTCTTGATCAATATTGTATTCATCGGGCATTAGCCGTAATGTGAAGATCATGCCTTCCACTTCTGAAAATGTGTTCCTTCGAGTCATTTCTATTTATATCTCAATTGAGGCTCATGAAGGGAATCACGCTGGCCGTTCGCTTTTTCTTGCATCGTTTAGTATGTCTAGGCCGCTCCACAGGTAGGAATTTACGGTTTCTTGTCGCTCTCGCGCGATGAGTCGCTCCGCCCCATCGTACCATCCGACGTCATGATGCTTACCGAATGTCACAAGATTTGCAATTCACTCATATATTTTTTTTGCGTTAATCCAAAAATTTCTTATAAATATAACATATTTACTTGCGATAGATGATACGTTAATTTTCAACGGCGTATTCCGTATTCAAATTCACAATAAGTTCATTGATGCAATTAAGAACGCATTCACAAGATTATCAATAAAAGTTTGTTTCGATTGGACAAATTTGAAACGTTCATATATTGGTATCTTTAAGGAGATCAAGAAATTCGAAATATTTTCGTAATGTTTAGTATCACGTGGAGATCCAGGATGATCATAAGCGTTATTGAAAATAGTCACGAAATTTCGCCTTTCCTAATTAAAATTTCACTGTTTATCCCAGATATCAATGCCTGTCCTTCACCGTGTAGTTATCCACGATTCATTGCAATCTTATGCTACTCAGATGCCACATTTGTCTTCACACCGTGTCGAACGCGTTCAATATGCAAAACCAGTTTTGACAGAAGAATTAAGACATAAATACTGAAGCTGCATGCATGTAACATTCTAAAATTCTAATGTCATTTTTTCATCTCGATAACATTTATTTTGTGTCGCAACTTGAATTCTTGATCAATATTATATTCATCGGGCATTAGCCGTAATGCGAAGATCATGCCTTCCACTTCTGAAAATGTGTTCCTTCGAGTCATTTCTATTTATATCTCAATTGAGGCTCATGAAGGGAATCACGCTGGCCGTTCGCTTTTTCTTGCATCGTTTAGGATGTCTAGGCCGCTCCACAGGTAGGAATTTACGGTTTCTTGTCGCTCTCGCGCGATGAGTCGCTCCGCCCCATCGTACCATCCGACGTCATGATGCTTACCGAATGTCACAAGATTTGCAATTCACTCATATATTTTTCTCCACGAACTATTTCAATGTGTTATTTCTAAACCTCGATAGGGAGTTATTCTCGCTCTGCATAGGGTTTATTGTGTGTGAATTAAATGATATCAAATCAAAAAGACATAATAGCATTAGTGTTGTGGAGGACGACTACGTGTAAGCGCCTGCGGCAATTGGCCACGTGCAGCCGTGACCGCGACCACTGGCCCTGGCGTCATTTGACTTGTGTCTGTGGTGAGCTACGCGTCAAGAAGCAGAGCTCGCTATAACTGGAAAGATAGCGCAACGACCTTAAGGCTTTCAAGAACGTTTAATATTTTACAGACTGAGTAGCCATCTCGAACATTCATAAGCTGCACTACACTGGGGCTTGTGACTCGTTGGGAGGAATCACGGGATATAAGTTAATTGAATAATTATCTTGCATCTGTTGCAAAACATAGAGCGAAAAAACGGTCACATTATTCGAAATAACGTTTACGCACTCGTCAACGCTTTAGTCTGAAAAAACAGCGATGACAAAATTCTACTGGAAGTTTCTTAAAGCTCTTTCAATTTATTTTCTCGTGTTCATGATTGAAAGTGCTGTGGCTATCGGGGAGAGCAGCCATCGCCCCATATCAGACCGATCCTTCCTGGAAGGAAGCTTAGATAGGGCTCTTGATAAGGCGATTTCTGCTCGTAATCTCGAGCAAGGTCGCGTGAGGCGGTCGGAGAGGCGTGGACCTCCTCGTAACTTTGTTGCTTTGGACGACATGAGCGACGGAGAGCACGAAGTTAGACTTCACTTCAACGGCGTCAGCGCGAAGCAAACCTTCGTGGGACCTGCCGAGGGCAGTCCAGAGTAAGTGTAGAACTAAGGCATGGGCTCCTGCTGATTGAATTATGAAGCTTTGTATGACGTTCATTATGAAGAGGGATATTCGCTCTCTCTTGAAATTTTCATGTCAACACTTTTAGGCGTCACTGTGCAGTGTGCACATTGGCAATGATTTGCACTGTGTCTCGATAAAGTTTGCAACCCTTTGCGGCTGTAAAAGAAAAATCTGTAATATTGTTCTATGTTATAGTTTGCTGAACTTTTTTCATACATCCATACACACGCCCTCACATTTTTAGCGCAATCTTCTACCGTAAAAATTTTTACAAGGAACGATAATTTAATTTGAAGTGCGTTGATGCACGAAACCAACATTAATAATTAGCTTAACAATTAGATCACGTGTCTGCTTTGCAGATGCTTCATTAATCCTGTTGGTATTTAACAACACTTTTACTTTCTCCCCCTGAAAAACCTGCCTACAATTTTGCCATATAATTCAAGATCCTAAATTATTCACAGATTTACTGCATCAGAACGTCTTCGTTCAATTTGATGACTATATAAGTACGTCAATCTATTATTATAGTCCTAATGTTTTGAACTGAGTCTTGCAGGTACCCAGGCTCTTACGCATTTACTTGGTAGATGCACCCCAATACAAAAGCTATAACGAAATACCAGTGTCAACACTGGCGTTCAAAAACAAGAATTCATGTGCACTTCCATACTCAGAGAATAAAGACCGGAACAACAACGCCACCTGCAAGAAACTCCGTCTGCACGGCTACAGAAGAGGTTTATACTAAAGGAATTGCGGTTACAACAATATTGCCTGGGAGTCAAGAGTCTGAATGCTATGCTGTCTTCAAGACAAAAAACATGCGCTTCAATCCCATTGTTCTAGGCCATGAACCCAAGAGGCAACGTACAGAGGGCCAGAGAATGTGATCCAAATATATCTTAACATGGGAACTTCATAAAACAACATCAATTTGGCGTCAAGATCTTATACAGAATAACATGAAGATGTTGGAGCTTATTTTCTTTTGATAACATTTGGAACACATGACATACTCCTCAGTAAGCCTGGCAAAACATCGCAATCGAAACAACGCGTCGCTCGTTAGTTTGCTAGTACCTAACCAAATAGGTAAGCATGGAAATTACCGTATATGAATCATCTTAATATAAATATATCACCTTCAGAATTTACACATGTCTCAAGGGAAAGTACAGTTGCTTTTTGTAATAGCCACGACGGACCTGCGGGTTGTAATAGCCACGACAGACCAACGGGTTGTAATAGCCACGACAGACCAACGGGTTGTAATAGCCACGTCGGACCTGCGGGTTGTAATAGCCACGACAGACCAACGGGTTGTAATAGCCATGACAGACCTACGGGTTCTAATAGCCACGACAGACCTACGGTTCTAATAGCCATGACAGACCTACGGGTTCTAATAGCCATGATAGATCTACGGGTTCTAATAGCCATGACAGACCTACGGGTTCTAATAGCATTGACGGATCTACGGGTTCTAGTAGCCTTGACAGATCAACCGGTTCTAATAGCCATGACAGATCTACGGGTTCTAATAACCTTGACTGATCTACGGGTTCTAATAGCCATGATAGATCTACGGGTTCTAATAACTTTGACAGACCTACGGGTTCTGGACATCCCAGCATCATGCAAAAAGTTGTGCTGATCCTCGACCGTCTCCAGTGACCTTTTAAACCACGATTTTTTAAAGACATGGCCCTGCGCGATGCTTTTTGTATATGTCGCCTTTATAGAATTTGATTTAAAAGCCTTTGTTTCTATAGTTGAGTGCACATTCTTTATCCACAAATAATTTTTTACTTGTATTTGGCGCCTTTATAGAATTTAGCTTAAAAACCCTTGTTTTTATAGTAGAATGGACGTTTTTTAATCACAAATGTTTTTTTGTTGCATACAAATTTCAGTTGCCTAATATTTATGATATGTACCAGCATAATTACAAACATTCATGTTTAATAAGCAGCGAACGAACATCATCCACTTTATTTCTGTAACATCAATCATTTTTTGCTTGCAGTACTTGCATATACTTTCAGATCTTCCAGGAAAACATCTGAACCAAATTGACGACTTGATCCTAAATTTCTTAGTCATCAAAATTTACTTAATTGGACATTCATAAAAATGTAATCTCTAAGAACTTTGCCAACCGCATTTATTAAAGTATGAAGCAATTCGCTGCCGTTATTGCTGATCAGGACTGAGACCATCTCGCGTACGTGGCCACACCAAAGTAGCTGCAGCTCAGCGGAGAGGCGCGATATTCTTGCTGTTACAGGGGCCGTCATTAGGTCTCTACACTCATAGAAATCGATGAGACTTTGTCCAAACATTCATGCACTTTCGCACTTATTTGGGACATATTGACACAGTTTAGCGCGAAAAACGGTCGCGTCAGTGCAACACGCAGCAGGTGTGTCATTATTTGGAGATTATGACCCATTAATTTTGATGAGTGAGCATGGTATTAAAATCATTGCCCAGATAATTTTCAAGAAAGAGTTGAGAAGCAAAAATTTCTTAGGCTAGTTCTCCTCTTGTCGAAATTTGAATTTATCTTTCGTATTTGATCAATGATAAAATGTGAACTATTGTGACATTGTCAGGTCAGTAAACAGTCGTGCAAGAAATGATTTAATCATGTTTATGGTATTGATGAAAATTTGACTACCGCTATAACGTTTTCTCGCTTAGACCCTGATTTATTGCTGAAGTAACCGGCAGCTGTGAAAAAAAATTATCGATGAATTTTTCGACTTTTTCTGGCATTAGTTGAATCCCGCCCAGTCTCGGGGAAACCCGCCTACTTTCAAACCTATAGGCCGGTATTGACATTTGTTGCTGCTACCGCTGGAATTTCCCAACACTGGCGATTTTCCCTAAGCGTCAGCAACGGCACGAACATTGTTTAAAAACATTACAACATTTGCTGAATGGACGTATATATAGAATGCCTCACTTTTGCTATTCTATTTTTACCCTGGATAGATGCCGGCAACTATATCCACTTGCAGCTGGAGTTAGAAACGCCAGCGCTTTGCCGATTATGGTTATGAATATTCGCAATTAAATGATCTATTAATAAATGCAAATGCGATAATATAATTTATAATATCGTATGATAATACGATATTATTTTCAATTGTCTGTGGAATTTTATACTATATAGATGTTACTCACTGCAGTGAGTGACAGAGAGCGCATTTTCTCGTCGCCGAAAACTTGAGGTCACGGACGGACGGACGGACGGACAGACAGACAGACGGACATGGCGAGCAAAATAGTGCATTTTTTCCATAAATGAGAAAATGCGCTCAAAATGGAATAAAGCAATATATGTGTTTATAATGCGCCTAAGAATGAGAACGCCGACCAAATAAATGCCCAAATAACCGCGGATCATTTTGTACGCAATCCTCAAACGGTTTTGTATGCCCGAGCTTTGCTTGGTCACCGCCAAGTGGGATGACATGCTGCTCGATCAACGCTCGAATATCTCGAGTGTTTGGTGATAAGCGAAAAATTGGCTTCATTCACTTGAGATGCTTGTGCATTAAACTCTCAGATATTGACTTGAAAATTTCAGCAATCGTCCTAATATAGTATCGTTACAATAGTGGATGCCTCATGAATGTTCTTTAGCTAGGGAAGAACGATCGGACGTTAGGAGAAAGGACAATATTCATGCCTAAACTATCGGGTGTCTTTGAATATTTCCACTGTCGTGCCGTCTCTGCATGGAATTCTATAAAAAATAAATTTTTCGTGACTGCCAGCGTTTTTGATGCAGGTAAAACCACTGCGAAACTTTCACCAACAGCCCTTTATGCTGTTTACGTCTAACTTCTCTTCTCTTCTCTTTTGTAAACATGAAAATTTTGAGTTAATTGCACTTTATTTTGAAAATATCGAAAAGCGTATGTGTGACTTAGGTTTTCTTAAGTAACGCATAAGTTTTGTGTGCCCAAATATTGTTGTAGATTGTAGTCTATTGTTGTAGATTATTACCAAGTATTCACCATAAGCTTTCATGAATTCTTTGTGATCCTAAACATTTACATCTGTAGTACTTTCTGGGAAATTTTTCGTCTCCTATTGAAATCCTACTTGTACAAATAATAATGTGTGTAGGTGCGTATAAGCAAATTGTCACTCTGATTATGGTTGGTTGAAGCACCCTTTTTAACTTACCCACGTGATTATTAACGCCTGAATGTTCTGTGCTTTCAGCGGTTTGGTTTTGCGGGAAGTTAGCGACGGCAGGCAGTTGGTATACCTTGTGTACACGGGCGTCATTCCTCCTCTGAACACGTCCGACATGTCGCTGTGGGACACGTCTCTCCTTATAGACGACGCTACAGACTACACCTCGTCCGACCACACGACTGAAGATCCACACTTGCGGCTGCGGGACTGTCGAGTCGAGAAGGACCCGGTTAAAGTCAACGAATTTATGAAGAAATTTCGCGAGGATTCTATGACAGCCAGGAGCGTTGGTGGTGAGTGCTGGAAAATTTTGTATGTTCCTCAGAGACTAAAATTTGTTTAGTAATTACGTACGTATATACGTATAATTAGTGTGATTTTTTGTATGTACCCGAGACTACAATTAGTTTAGTAATTACGTACGTATAATCAGTGTGATGGGTTTTATATCGTTTTAAGATTTATTAATAACTACTTTCGATAATTTCAAAGTGCGTCTTATCAGCTAAGCTGATGAAAGAATATTATCACGAAAGCACACATATACGTTTAGGAGTTTAAACACAGGTACAGTTATTTTTCGTGGTAAATAAAAATAACTTATGAGATGCCTAAGGTTCTAACATTCTCAGATTGCGAATTTCGAATCACGGTGCTTTCAGTTAAATTTCCGATCAAAAGTTTGCTCTCCCAAATTGCGAGTTATCTAAATTTAGAATATTTTAAAGTTACGGGCCAACTCATACGGGAAAGAAATTGCGACTGACACAATGAAAAGAAACTGATATCCAACTTTGTACCGAGTAATAAATTAATTATTTACACCACATTTGAAATGGTAATTTAGACTCCTCATTGTTATTACGGGAAAATAAATCTGTTTTCTCATTCATATTTTGATATCAACATTGATGTAACGTGAACTGCATTGGTATCGACATAAATATATACAAATATAGCCGGAGCCGCTCCACTTGATACACCGTCAGCTGCTGAAGAGGGAAAACCATGATTTAAAAGAGGCGATTGCAAATCAATAAGAGTTTAATATCACGAAGTATGTATCATTTCCTAAAATATGAAACCCATCGTTTAATTTGCGAAGAAACTAACGTGTATTATTTATTCTCGTTGCTTAGCAGACTCGGACTCCTCTGACTGGCGTTGGGCAGACTTCAGACGCGTGCGGTCGCTGCCACAAGTACATCGCTATCTCAGACCTCTCGCCAACCTGCGCGCCCTCAAGCGTCAAGTGCGTGAGATAAACAACTCTTCTATAGATCCACGAGCCTTCACTAATTAACAAACCCTCATAAAATTGGATGTTTATCCGGTACACTCATCCCTGATTGGTTCGCGCAATGCAGGTCCAAACGTTGCTTTTCAATGCATCCGTGCAAGCCTTCGAGTCTGTTTTCAATTGATGAAACTTCGTCAAACATGTGCAAGCGTCAGTTTCACGAGATCTGTTTGAAATTGGTCAGGTTCAGTATTATGTTTATTCATGATTAACTTCGAGATTGATCGACCTACTTTCATTCGCTAAACCAAATAATATTGATCACTATTAAATTAAAAAATAGAAACATTGCTTAAGAATATGCAAAATAAACAGAGAGAATTTGTAACAACCATTTGCATTCTCAAGTATATTTGCAATGCAATCTAAGTAGCTTTATATAATTAACGAACATAGGCCGCTGAACCGTATGTAAATAGAACTGTAAATTCCAATGTTTTCTCTTGACTTTCATTGCTTGAATCTTTGACTAACGACACTATATAACATACTTGTTTTTTTTTCGCCGCGTGCTAATCGCCCCGCCTTTTCAATTTTCGGTAAAATAAAGACAAGATTTGGATGAAATTTGTTAATAGAGACAAGTTACGACACAATTTTTGTTATTAATCAAGTATAATACACAAAAAAGTTGACATCATGTCTGTTGGGGTCTGCAGTGCAAACGGCACCTGAATGCTGTGAAGCGAACTCTCAGGCATCAGCGCGTAAAATAATCTTACAACGATCTCCTGCAATTGTGAATTCGATTCTCAATGGCAGGACAATTAAATGCATTTAGGGTAGGAAACAAGTGGATGATTTTTTACGCTTATTATAGTTATACTAAATTATTGTTGTTGCTGTGCTGAAGTTAAGTTACAGACACCCATGGGCTTAACTTATACATGTTAGATACAAGGGTACTGGAACGCATTTGTTATCATCACGACGCTTACCTTCTGTAAACATAAGGGCGACCTCATACTTAGAAATCTACCTGATTATTTGATACTGCCTTGAATTGTATACTTTCATACACTGCTCACTTTTGTTATTTGATCACTTTAATGAATTTAGTCTTTACTGAACAAAAAACAATAAAAAAAAATTCGGTAGTCTCTTGAAAAAAATGGATCAACAGACTACCGAATATTGTGAATGCAACCATGAAATATTTTCATGTTTTAATGATTAAGTGTTATCTTCGAATTAGCTTTGATATAATACATGCAGAATTTTATACAGACACTGACGTTGTTGACATTTCTTCCACTCACAAGCACATGACCACATTTCATAAGAATATTGACTCACCAATTATTGTATATTTCAACAGTTCAAAGTGTCGAATTTACCATTTATTTTGATTCATATTGACCTACTTGAAAAGAATTAATGTTTTGGTAAACATTCAAGTTTCAATTAATAAACTATTCAAGTTCCTGTGAGACAATGAGCGTGCAATTTACAGTATTATGGTGGTATGTGTTTGTATGTTCTCAGAAGCTTCCAAGAAATGTTTACACTTGTACATCAAACATGCAGGCCTTCCTCTTGAGAGTTTTATGTACTGAACAACCACAAGGAATAAGTTCCCCATTTATGCTGTACTCACTCCAAGCGAACACACTGCACCAGGAAGCTCTACTGACTGTCACAACAAAACAACTCTGGCTGCTGGTTTCTTGTAATGGTCGCAATTCTTGCTGTTCATCGTGCATTGATGTTTCGGGACCAAGGATTTTAAGTCAACAAAAAATTTTTTAGAAACCATACTTGAAGTTAAAGTAGACTAAATTAAAATAAACACGCATTAAAATGAGTTCACATTCAAGGTATGGGCAAGAATTTCTGAAATAAATATAAGAGCGTGGTTCTTTCGATATAGAGTTGTTTTTTGCATTGAATTTCAGATCGAACTTGCCAAATACCTAGTACATTATTTTTCCATCTAATGAATCAATCTCATAATGTGGGGTTGAACGTTTCTAGATATAATCCCTTGTTCCTTAATAGTCATTTGACTCGTCTCGCTTATTCGTTGTTGGTGATGGAAATAAAGTAACTCTTTCCTTTACATTTGTGATGTCCACCTCACGCTCGTTGTTAATTGGACTTGTCAGTTTTGATTGCAATTATCTATTTTATCCAAAATGATTCGTGTTTGAAATTATTTCGTCATCTGGGTTTTTTTCGTAAACAAATGTAACACCGTGTAAATTTATTACGACTTTCCGTGTGACTGAGCGTGTGTGGGATGGATTTTGATTGAAGGCTTCATGGTCACGGCAGGACCGTCTGAGCGAACCGCCATGCACGGCCTCCTGCGTCTCTTGGTAAGCTCTGTAAATTGCACTTATTTTCATGGCACAGTTTTTGGGTTGAAGTTAATATGGATTTCTTTTTAATGGTTGAACGATACGGTTTGGTGTGAGCTTCACTCAATTGATGCGAGCAGCGTTATAACTTTTACTAACATTCATTCCTCTTGATTTTTAGAAGAATTTTTCTGCCGAAAGGTTCAATTTCATGGTCGGAATTTAAATCTTTCACGGATTCAGGGTAAAAAGAAACATAGGCTTATTCGTTACTGAACTAATTTTCTCGTTCAATAACTCTTGCATTTGACGATAAGCAAATTTAATAACAACAGTTAATCAGTGTAAACTTGGTATTATTTCCTACAGAGCCTAATTGCTAATTGGCTTAACATAAAACGAAGATAAAAGCGTTCCTTAGAAAGAATATGTCACTGTATAGGAAAACTATGGCTTAATTTAACCCTGTCTGGATATTGTGTTGATAAAATTCAATCGTCTGCTCGTAAAGTTGCTTGCAAGCTTCCACACTGCACATCGCTCTATTGTTTTAAGGTTGTTTAACAGTTTTTTAGATTTGCGGGCTTTGGTGTTGGTCTGAACTTTGCTACTGACCGGAATGCCTTAGATGAAGCTCGGCCTGAGGTATCTTCTGTCTATCACATATTCACCGTAAAATACAACATTATAATTTTGCTAATCCACTACTTTTTTTATTATATTGTCTTGATGTTTGTCAACAAGTATGCCGCTAGATAATTCAATTCAATTTCTAAGGGGGTTAATTGGTATCCTGCATGCACTCGATGCCATTTTGTGATCATAGAATCCATGGATAACTATAACGCGTCTCCAGGCAAATGACGGTGAAACAACGTTGATTACGAGCTGATTTAGTTGACACGTTGTTCCAACGTCAGATACCTCGTCGGAAGTACAGTATACGTTTAATTAACGTGTTATATTGGGAGAATCATCGTATTTCACGAGTTGCTAAAGTCTCCATAGGACAATTTCTGTTTTTAACATTACCGACTTAAACCTTAAGAGCCTCTTTATGTATTTTTTGTCTTTGTTTGCTGTTATGTTTATTCTTTCTCTGCGGTCGATTCACGTTTCGTTTTTGTTTTTCTATATCTAATTGCAAACCGGACAATCTACATTGTGTTCACATGACTGTTTTCGCGAACACAAATGTGGGAGCTGGGGTTCTTATTTTGCTGTCTCAAGTTTGTTAAAATATTAAAATTAATTACAAATCAATTAAAAAAATAAAAAAAATTAGTAAATGTTAAAATTAATTACAGGATAATAATGAAAACTTTTTGTTCCAATACTTCTTGTGTAGATTACGTTTACATTCAAGTCGATAAGTTTTCTGTACTGTTATGCGTGTATCATTTACTACTTGAATTAGTTCTTTTTATACTATTTAATTCACTTGAACTATTTAACTCCCGAACCTTTCATTTTTTGAAACGTACTTGCGCATTTATTCTCGTATTCTCCAACAAGATTTCGGTGGTAAACCTTTGGGAAAGCGAGTCACTAAAAAACGTACCAATTCTTTTTCGCTCGTTCTTTTTCCTCATCAATAATATAGAACAGCAGTTGTAATTCAATTTTTTGTTTACCTGCAATAAAAGTGTCGATATACACACTGCAGTTAGTTATGAGTGCGCACGTAAAATTTTCTCATAGAAGCAAGGCATTACATGCATTCAGTGTATGATATGGACATATCCTGATAACATTTCCACTATAAAAACTTTCTAAAAAATTCATTTTTTATAATTAAATCAAAATTGTGGCATCGTCAGCCCAAAACCTGATGGCCCGTTGTCAGGAGTCAGCATTTTGTCCTCTTCCGCATCATAGCTTCTATCCTTTTCCTGACTGGACGAAATCCATTGAAATGACACGTAGTTATATTATACGGCTTTATCGCTATCAAGCGAAGGCTAGACCTCGTTCCATTAATTTGTCTCACAAAAAAGATGAAATCACTGTCATGGAATCTTGACCAAGGCTATTTGGAATCGGGTCCATTTTCCCGTCATAACGTTTAAAGACCATATCTTCGCTGCAAAAAAAAATATATTACTCTTCACAATGAGCATTTATCGCCCACATTTAGCCTCTGTCGCCCAATTTGGAAACCTTTTAAAAATTAAATGAGATTTCTACCTCAAAAGTCCGTTCAAAAAACAAAATATTTAGATGCTCACAGCGGTTAAAATATTAATCACTGGGATAAATTGTGACCTTTAACTTCATCTTCGATTTCTTTATTGACTTAATTTCTTTGCCTTCTTTTTCTCTTACAATTGACTTGCTTAACTGTTAGCGTTATCTTAATTGAACTGTACCTATGTTCTTAATCCCACTTGTAATATATAATCATTTTTATACATATTGATTGAAGTGATATACTATGGACAGGAACTCGAAAGATTACAACTATATGCATTTAATTTTCCTTTCGTGATATTTTTTTAACTTGTTCTGAGCTGTTTGGATTCAAATTGGCCTTGAAATTTAATTTGATTCTTTCTTCATTATGTTTTGCTAATAAATGTAATCAGTTTTTTTCAGTTAATAATGTTAATGACGCGGAAAGTGAATGCAGATAAAATTTGTTTTAACTGCACGATACAACTGAATAAACTTAATTTCTGCCTAACCGTACTGATTTAATTATACAAAATATGATACTATTTTAATTTTTTAATTATTAACACATTTATGGTTTTACCAATGAAATTATTTATTAATATTAACAATTTCCTTCCTGCCAGAAGAAAATTCCTGCCTAACCATTTAAATTTAATAATATAAACTATAATATTATTTGAAATTTTTATTTATCAATACATTTATTGTTTTAACAATGAAATTATTTATTATTATTAACAATTTTCTTCGAATTCGCACATTTCAAACATCATGGAAATATAACATCGTATAACATATCTCGGTCACTTCCCCTTCCGTCATTTTCTTGATCAAAACTCAGACCATGAAATGAGGTTAATGTAACTTTCAGCATTAAACTTGAGTCCCGTCCAGTGTTGAGACTTGATTTAGTTTACTTAGTCCAGAAATTTTTCTATGACTCACTTATATAATATGATGTAAATCAATATTGAATAAGTTATAAACTGGATTCATTACAATACCAAATCGAGAAAAGAAGTCAACCAACCCAATGTTGTTAATCGAAGCTGGTGAAATTAAATATTTTGTTTATTTTTGCCCACAAATCGTCATTAACTTTCACTCGAGAGCACTTTAATTGGTGATTTCTTAAATGTCAAGAATGACTACAGCGATCACTATGAAGAATCAACACTAGAAGTAATCCGATTCGTTAAAGTTCTCAAATGGCTTCATCAATGATCTGTCACAACCCTGGTGACAATTTGTGTTTTTGTTTGCCCCTTTAACTTGGTTATGTTATTGTATTTTGGCTAAAATGTAAATGATACGGCCACGGAATTGAATAAAAAAAGTTTTATTAAACCCTTGAGCAGGTCATAACTTTATCCACAATTTTAACATACAGTACAAAAATAACGTTCTAATGTTTTCATGGAACCTCGCGCGTTTTGGTCAATAAATTAGGAAGGGGATGAGTGCTTGAATGTGTATTTTACATAAACCGTATTTTTAGAACACCAATCGATCTAAAAACAGAACTTAAACTGCATGGGGCCCGGAATATTTTATCAGGGCACGCCGCAGCTTAACCGACCTGTTCATCCTGCCGGGGACCTTGTGGTGCGGCCACAGCCACCGCGCCTCGTCCTCCCTCGAGCTGTCAGGCCACATGGACGCCGACGCCTGCTGTAGGCTGCATGACTACTGCCCCTGGAACATCCCTTCCCTCTCCTCTAAGTTCGGACTCTTCAACTCGAATTTTATCACCATGTCGCATTGCGGGTGTGACACTAGGTAAGTGACATTCTGCATGAATTAGTTGGATGGCAAGGCGTCTCATTGGTGACTGCTGGTGTGCTTTCCGCATGAATTTTAGTTAGCGGATAGAATAAACTTCCGCATGCTCCTCTTCCGGATAAAGGTGAGTGCACAACTCAGGAGTTCGACACATTCGGTGGAATGTATAATATCGACGACGTGTGACCTAAATTCGGGATCTGAATGCTTGTCTGGCAATGTCTGGTGACGTGTCAAGTTATCCTTGTTGACTTGCGTTCTCACCGTTGGCTTGCGCGGTCAAGGTTGTTGTTCTTGGCGGCAGTAAGGATGAGCTTCCGGAAAATACCACGACCCATCATCAAAAATGTGGTTCTCACTCAGCACCGATAACGACCCACATAGAAACACGTCAACTCTGAACACAAGATACCTCATCACGACGAACAATTGAAGCAAACTGTCACGCTAGAAAGCATCCGAAAGTTTGTACTGTGACCGAATACCCAAGAAATTCAGGCTATTTGTCTGATATCCAGCAGATTTCGAAGGTCTCTGGCAGCAGTGTTTATGATCCCCAACACCCAATGGTGCGGCGTGGGTAACACGGCGCAGAATTTTGCTCATTTGGGTGGGCACATGGGAGCAGATCACTGCTGCAGAGAACATGACCACGTATGCCCCTATACCATCACTTCCTTCCAGACCAAGTACGGTCTCACCAACTGGAGTATGAAAACCTACAGTCACTGCTCCTGCGATATGAGGTAAGAATTAAGCTTATAACGATAATCTAAAATACTTAAGTTTGATTCAGGATTATCTGGTCCATGATTTTATACCACGTCTTTATTCCTATGTTGAAAATTTTAAAATTTGGCTTAAAGCGATGCATAACATTCGTTCCTTTCCAAAATCTGAAAAAATTTCTCGAATGAAACGTTTAGACTAATGAACAATGTACGTTGCATTATACGCAAATCATTCAGTGAAATCTTCTATAGCGAGGCGTACGCCTCTCGTTGTTATTCTCTTTGTCATTTCACCTTAAAAATCAAATACTGCAAGCTGCCGTGGCTTCTTTATAAGGCCACTCGTGATTAAGCCAGACCCCGCGGTATTTAGGCCGCTTTTTTTGTGACTCTGATTAGGTTTGACTTGAAATTCCCTGAAGGTATTGGAAGTTAGTAATATCTAAAGAAATTTTGTGGAACCAGTGGTCAAAATATCTGCCTTTTACTCGAACATGAGGTGACATCACTGTGATGCCCTCACCGATCAGAGTTTTACTAGTCGCACATGCAGTATCCACACAGCTAAACTTATCTCGAGACCTTATCGCTGACGTCAACGGGTCTGGTAAACTCTATCACTAACTCCTTAGATGTTTTGGAATAAAGCTTCAGGGAAGTTGGGTAAAATGTTGCGCAAGATCAACGGGATACTTGAAGCAACCGTGAATACAGATGACGAATCGCGTCACTGGAGCCGCAAACTATGAAGCAAAAACACGTGTAGCTGCTTCTCAAGACACGGAGGCAGTGGTGATTTACGAATCTGTATACAACTTATTCTCGCCTTCTGTTCTTTCAATGTATATAAGTTTTTTTTCTTAATTTTATCTATACCACGTTGGCCTGCGAGAAGAGGTTGGGATACACTGACGTGGACCATACTAATTTAGTTAAAAATCAATTTTAGTTTAAAAATCGAAAAAATTAGTTTATATATTTAATTACTTTCTGATATCATGAGATATTTACTACCTCCAATGCCACCTTCTTACAGCTACCTTATTTAGCGCGTATCGATTAAAAACACAGAATAATATTTTAACATAAAACTATCTAACGAGGTACGAAATTAATTTGTCAAAGGAAAGGACTTCGTAACTCGAGGACCGTGCCTCCTGGTCTTTGTACCATGCCGGACGACTTGTGCTCAATAATTGACCATAAAAAAAATTTAAAAGCCAGGCACCGTTCCTACAGCGATGAGCGAAGTATCGCTTTGTGGTCATTTTAGCGCATTTCCACATTTATGGAAAAAAGGCGCTATTGTGCTCGTCATTTCCGTCCGTGACTCGCTCGTCATGTCCGTCCGTGACTTCCACGTTTTCGTTGACGAGAAAATGCGCTCTCTGTCACTCACTACAGTGAGTACTGACTCTACTGAGTTATATTTTGTAAACCCTTGCTTGAAATATTTCACGTCAATTTCTATCAGCAGAAAATCTATAATTTTTTGTCTGAATGAGAAATCTAGCCAGCTATCTCAATTGTATGTTATATAGATTCACCTCGGAAAACGAATCATGTACTTAGAAGCTGGGGCAGTCAAGCTGAAAGTTGCCGGCGCTGAGCGCATACTTGATCCTTATCTAAAGTACTGGTATCATATACTACAAGCTTGGGTTTGGGACATTTCTGGCCCTTATAACGTAAAATATATTCAAACATCTCCCATTTTAATTGCTCAGCCATAAATTTTATAAGGTAATAATGAATGTCGTTTCCTACCGGAATTTTTCGTAAATACGTGTAATTTGTTACATTTGAACATTCAGAATCATAAAGTGAAACGGTGTTGAATGCCGATCGAATTGCATCACTCGAGTGCGACAACCTTGAATTCTCGTCTCGAGTGAGCGCGGTGATGTGACTGAAAGTTTCGGTGAAATGCTTCTCGATCAGCTGATTTGTTCTTGATCATCTGATTCGTAAGCGTGATGGCTGCAAATTAGCCGGCTAAAAAGCCGCGGTTCTATTTCTAATAAGACGTTGACAAACTGACGTTTCTTTCGTCTGAGACCGACGATCTCTTGACGGAAAAAGTTTGTATCGCTGCCACATTACTTTGGACTCAATCAATATGAGTTAAACTGCTTACAAATTGCTTGATCCAGTTTGGCAGTATGCAATCTGAACTGCAGGGCATTTGTGCCATTTTACACAAATTACAATTGACCGATTTATTGTGAGCGAATAAGAGACAAAATAATTAGGCGACACGGCATTAATATTACCAAATAAACTAACCAATACAGCAGTGCTCGCGGCAACCCCTCGATCGTGCGTAATTTGCGTTAAGATCACAAATGTTCATCGCTGTATCTGAAACCGAGGAGGAACTAGAATTATTTTCCAAAATTTTTTCTATCACGATTCATTGATATATTTTCGCACTAATTATGCGAAAATATAATTTTTTTCGTCCAATGATTTCTCAAGGGCATACATCGTTCATGCCCCAGACCCCATCATTTCTTTTTATGCAAGACCTATGATTCCGTTTCATTCTCTAGTAACTGCGCAGTTCTCGTCTTGTGCTGCTCGAATGTATTATGCCATGCTAATATCGGACGCTCCTTGTACGGCACCAGACATGACCAACAATTTCAGCGCCCAATGTAACAAAAAATCGTCTGCCTGCCTCTCATTGGCTGACACGCCCACGACACACCTCCACGCACAAGCTTCCTATTGGTCGACGTCAGGGCTGGATTTCGTCACATATCCGCGTCAACTTTGGAAACATTCGAAGACATGAAAGAAAGAGAATCTGTCATTTCCTGTTTAAATAAGCTTAAACTGAGCAGAACAACAAGGTCACTACATTTCCGCCCCATTTATTAGCTATATATAATTCTTGCGTCTGACATCAGACAGATTTCCGTTTAGATGCTGATCGCACCACGCTTATCTTCGACTCTTATCGAAACACGAGTAGGCTGATGAGACGACCATCATTGTTTGATGTAATTTCATTGTTTGACTGACTGCCATAAGAACAGAAAACTTTCATGAAGTTTTACAGTAGTCATAACAGAATGTTCCTACGAATCGTATCGAACATTTCAAAAGTCTATTGAAAATTGAAAAAGCCTTATAACCCACACTCCGTGTTGTGACAACCGTTTTACTCTTGTTGAATGAGACGAGAAAAAATAAAAAGGATAAAACAGAAAAAGTCACAACACCAAAGTTTTTTGTGTTGTGACAACCGTTTATTATCATAATTTACGAAAAACGATCGAACAACTGTTTGTAATCTAGTTTCAGAAACTTGCCATTTTGGCTACTCGAATGATATCGTATTATTTCAAATTAATGTGTCGGGATGAATTGCTTTAAGATCATCGCCCCATAATAATTACTTACGACAATTTTATTCAAATTGAATATCTGTATTCCAGAACCATGTCAATACTGCTTAGGATATTTTTTGGAATTTTGCCTGTAGGCAAAAGTATATCTCTGCATTGAGTCTGTGATGGGGGCCGCTGGTTCAAGCGTATCCTTGAAGCATTGGCCTTCCGCTGCCTACTCAATTACGACTTTTTTCTCCTGAGACATAAGCTCAGTACTGCAGTTGTAACTGCGATATGTGCAGTATTTTGTTAATGGCTTGCTCATTATGCCACAAATCTATACACGATCAATGATACTGTTATGCTTTATTGATAGACATCGACTTTATCTCGCTTCACAAAGACTTTTTGTAAGAAACTTCTGTTGAATTGGACTTCTAAGTGAAATAATGTTATCAATTTTTCTCTAAAATGAATCACGCCACCAAATAAATTAGCTCGATGATATTTATATAAATTATTTGCATTGTACTTAGTAGCGAGACTTGAAAAGAACATGCTAGCGTAAATCTTTTTATTATTACATCTTAGCGTTTCACTATCTTATAAGTCATAAATTATGTAGAGATTGCAGCAGCATCTGCAAAACATGCGGCCTTTACTGAGCCGTAATAGAGTTCTAAAGATTACCTCTCGTAAAGATTATCTGTGTCACATCTAAAAATTTATGCTGTAAACATTTGGGACCGTAGAGTACAGGGAAATTTTTCGACTATTTTAGCAGCTGCCAAAAAAACGAGTTTTGAAGATCCTCGTTCCATATTTTTTGAGTAACTATAAAACCTCTTGTGCGCTAATAATGTTTTTAATACCAGCTAGTAACGTTTTGAAATGAAAAAAAAAACACGGTGAATATTTTCTAAAAAATATTAATACCCTAAAAAAGCGTACTCAGCACTTTTTCTACACGATTCCTGTTAATATTATGACACCACCGCAGCGTGGGACCTGTTTTTGAATGTCATCGTCAAAAAAGAACGCCGCTCAGCCGCCTGATACTGTAACCACTACAACAACAACAAGATGGATTTCACTCTTCATCATAAGTAGGACGCTGCCCGCCAGATGTGTCTTCAAGTGCAGCAACGACTGGGTGTCACTTGACCCATCTCGATGCTATCTGGGTTGTCGCAACTCTGAGTAGCCTGAACACGACCCTATTATTTGCGATTTTTCACGGTTCGAGGAAAGTCACTCGCTTCTATCTTTGTTTGTGCACCCACCTTAAAAGTCACTATCCAATTTCCGCACAATTCATTTGTTTCATTATCTGTCATAAGCATCAATTTCTGACGATTTATGAAAGCTACTTTGATTCCTTCTACATCGCGAGAACGTATTACAGCTCGCAATTCGCAGTCGTCGAAATCTTGCGCAGTTTACGCAAAATATATTATTTCCCTGGATGTAAAAATATGCTGACCGCGACTATGGAACGTTAAAGACAATGAAAAAATCCTGCACATTATGCAAGGAAATTGAGATCCCGCATTCAGTTATGCAACCTGCATGTGGACTGTTTTGAAAAGATTCGGAACCATCCCTTCTTGGAAACAATTCTTTTACACGACTTAGTCATCCTGAATCTATTGAGCAATTTCATGGTGCCAACTGTTT